GTGTACAGCAACGTCGCGACCGTCGATATCATAATTAAGAAATGCCGCCGCTTCGAAATGGCCAAAAACCGCCGAGTTAGACCTAAATTTTCACGGCTCCTTAACACGGCTGTCACGTCAACCTGTACTGATCTCGGTGCCGCACCAACCTTGCACGAGAATGTTACACGCATCGTTCGGAACGAGCTTGAGGCGGCCCGTCCAGCGCCGTTTCATGCACTTCCACTCGACTTGGGCACCGTGCAAACACCTCCGGCGGTGTCAGTTATTCAGGCAGTCATGCGGCAAGAAATTGCTAACGTTGGTTTCCTGTCGCTTGCTCCGTCTCCTGACCGGACTACAGACCGATTCCAATGAATGCACCATGCCATGACCCGTACACTCTGCCCAGATCCCGCAATCTGACTGAGTGGAGAACAGCAGACGACAAGCCAATGTGCTTCCGCTGTCACCGAGTTGGCAATGTCTCCCGCTACTGCCGCAGCACTTGGACGCCCCCCCCCCCCCCCCATTGGAGCCAATTTTCTTCTTCTCCTCGGCCATACGCGGACCTCCATCGGTATCCGCCCAGCCGTGAGTATCCTGCTTCCGACGCACCTAACAGCCGCTCTACCGCGCGTCACCGTCACCGCAACGCCGCCGTTCTCCATCGCCCCAACCCCGCCGCTATCCATCGCCGACTAACTATGGATCTTCCCGGATGGAAAACTAGATTATGCAGCTCCTGGAGGTAGTGCTACATCAAGTTCGACTGACCCAAATCCTCCGTTGATGCTACCTACTAATAAGAACTTGCTGGAAGTGCATGTGGACGGTCTTCCTTGACGGCTTTAGTTGACACTGGAGCTCAGGTGTGTACAATGAGTGCTCGTCTGTGTCGCCGCCTCAAAACAAGCCTGGACGCCTGTCGCAACACAAGCCGTCCGTGCCACTGATGGTGGAACTGTAGCCGTCATTGGAGTGTGTACCACTCGCATTAGCCTTGCCGGCCGCCATGTTACTGTTTTATTTACCGTGCTCGACAGTTGCCCTCATGACGTCATCGTCGAGATGGACTTCTTATCGACACATTCTGCTTTGATTTACTGTTCCGCCGGCACTCTTGTTCAGAACTTCCTCTTCTCCTTAATTCTCACCCTGAACTCCCGAACAGCCTGTGCACCACTGACTTTTTCTGGATACCACCTAAAGCTCTCACATTCGTTGAATTCGCAACAGCCTCTCCTGTGCCCGATGGTGATTATATTGTGACACCTATTCCTGATGTTCTCCTGGCGCGTCACATTACTGTCCCACACTCCGTCGTAACCTTGGCATCTAACCGAACTTATTTACCTGTCATCAATTTCGGTTTTATAAAACAAGTGCTATCTCAAGGAATATCCGTCGCCATGCTAAGACCCTTAGTTGACGACCACGTCACCTGTTTTGCGACAGACGTATGTTCCGATCACACACGTCACTCGCAGGATGCCACGTGCCTGGATGCAACATTACGCTCCATGATCGCCCCGGACCTCGAACCTGAGAGGTCAGCCGCGCTCTGCCTCCTTCTAGCTTCATAACGCGACATATTCGATATAGACAGCCATCTACTCGGCCAGACTTCACTCGTCAAGCACCGCATTCACAGGTGATTCTCATCCCAAACATCGGCGACCATACCCGGTGTCTGCCACCGAGCGTAAAGTAATTCAACAAGAAGTCACCAAGATATTAGCCAAGGGAATCATCGAACCCTCTTCGAACCCTTGGGCATCTTCCGTTGTGCTCGTTAAAAAGAAAGATGGCACGTGGCGCTTCTGCGTAGATTACCGCCATCTGAATAGAATCACGAAAAAGGGCGTTTACTCTTTACCCCACATCGATGACGCTCTCGATTGTTTCCACGGCGCCCGATACTTTTCTTCAATAGACGTACGTTCCGGCTACTGGCAGATTGCTGTTGACGAAAAAGACCAAGAGAAGACTGCATTTGTAACTCCAGACGGCCTATATCAGTTCAAGGTTATGCCGTTTGGGATATGTGACGCCCCAGCCACGTTCAAGCGCATGATAGATTCTCTGCTACAAGGGTTCAAATGGTCAACATGTCTCTGTTATCTCGAAAATGTTGTTGTATATTCCCCAACATTTGAGACCCATCTTCAACGTTTGTCAGCTGTTTTCGACATATTCCGCACTACAGGCCTTCAATTATTCTCGTTGAAGTGCCACTTCAGACGCCGGCAAATTACAGTGTTGGGTAACCATGTCGACTCATCTGGTGTGCAGCCGGACCCGCAGAAAATTCGTGCAGTCACCAGCTTTTCTGTACCCCGGTCAGTTAAAGACGTCTGGAGTTTTCTAGGACTTTGTTCTTACTTTAGAAGGTTTGTGAAACGTTTCGCAACCATCGCTCGACCTCTCACTGAGCTTCTGAAGAAAGACGTCACGTTTACGTGAGGTACCGACCAAGCTGCTGCTTTTTCTCATCTAATCACGCTTCTGATGACTCCTCCTATATAGGCTCACTTTGACCCACCCGCTTCGACAGAAGTCCGAATCGATGCTAGTAGTCACGGGATTGGAGCCGTCTTAGCCCAACGCCAACGGGGACACGAATGAGTTGTCGCCTACGCTAGCGGCCTCCTCACAGCTGCTGAGCGCAACTATTTCATTACAGAGCGTGAGTTTCTCGCTCTTGTTTGGGCTGTCTCAATGTTCCGCCCATATTTATATGGCACAAATTTGTCTGTAATTGACCATCATGCGCTATGTTGGCTTACGTCACTGAAGGATCCCACTGGCCGGCTCGGGCGCTGTGCTCTGCGACTGCAAGAGTATACCTACACGGTGACGTACAAGTCCGGACGCCTACATCAGGAAGCAGACTGTCTGTCCCGCTACCCGGTTGCTGAGTCGAGCACTATACTTGACGCCGACACCGGCCCTCGCGTCTTTTCTCTTTTGCAAATTACATGCATCGGTGACGAGCAGCGCCTTGATGCGTTCTTGCGTGTTATCATTGAGCGCCTCGAATCACCATCTTCGAATCAATACCATCGCTAATTCGTGCTCCACAATTGTGTATCATACCGCCAAAATTTCGAGCCGGATGGACCGGCCCTCCTGCTTGTCATTCCGAAACAACTTCGCTCGGAAGTTCTAGATGAACTTCATGACCTTCCGACTGCCGGTCACCTTGGTGTCTCACGCACTTACAACCGAATACGCCGACGCTTCTTTTGGTCAGGGCTTGCACGCTTACTCAGAAAATACATTGTGGCTTGCGAGAAATGTCAGCGCCACAAAACGCCATCGACATTTCCCGCCGGACGCCTTCAACCGCTTGACATTCCGTCAGAACCGTTCTTCTGCGTTGGCTTGGACCTTTTCAGCCCTTTCCCCTTGTCTTCTTCGGGTAACAATTGGATAGCTGTGGCCACCGACTACGCCACGCTTATGCCATCACACGAGCTCTTCCAACAAGCTGCGCCACAGACGTCGCCGACTTCCTCCTCAAGGACGTGATTTTGCAAAACGGAGCCCCACGGCAGCTGCTTACAGACCGTGGCCGCACCTTTTTTTCAAAGGTGATAGCTGACATCTTGCAGTCCTGTCAAACGAGACACAAGCTGACTACGTCATACCATCCACAAAACAATGGACTCACGGAGCGTCTAAATCGAACTTTTACAGAAATGCTCGCTAAGTATGTTTCTACAAACCACACCGACTGGAATCTTGCGTTGCCATACGTCACATTTGCCTATAATTCTTCGCGCCATGACACTGCCGGTTACTCTCTATTTTTCCTGCTGTTTGGCCGAGAACCAACAATGCCTCTAGACATCATCATACTGTCCCGTGCGCGACCGACCAGTGAATATGCCGTGGAGGCTATCACTCGGGCCGCTTACGCACGCGAAATCACCCGTACTCGCCTTTTGACCTCTAAAGAGAAGCAACGGCGTTTGCATGACCAACGACACCGCGACGTGCACTTTCCACCCGGTTCTTTGGTACTGCTCTGGTCTCCGACCCGTCAAGTTGGCTTGTCAGAAAAAACTGCTTTCTTGCTACACAGGTCCATACTGAGCCCTTTGTGTGGTTACTCCTTTGACATAAAAAATTGGTCCCGTCGCCCCATCGCCTTCGTGTGCCCAAAAGGCTACCGATAATGTACATGTTGCACGCTTGAAGCCCTACCACTCGCCTAGTGACGTTGACATTTAGATGCGCCGAGACGGCGCTTCTGCCGCCGGGGATTATGCTACATGCATGCAAATTGAGATTCTAGGGGGCGACGCGCGTGTGTGCCTGACGAGGAAGACAAAGGGTGTGGTCTCCGCTCGGAGTCTGGTCTACCGGTCACGCTACTGCTGCTGCTGGTTTGAAATATATTTCATCCACAGCCTCGTCGATACGGTGTCTCTCTTCTGTAACAATATTACGTACCAGGGCGAAGTCAAGAGCACATCTCTGCAAAATAATATAAATATTTTTCAATACCTACGGCCAAGAATTGTGCATGAAAAAATGAAAGCTATAACTTGCAATTAAAAGCATCAAATCATCAAACACCATTCATAGAAGCGAATTTTATCGTCAATCAGTACCATGGATGCCTCGCTTGCGCAGTTTTTTGTACATCTCTTGATGTAAAATGCTTCAGCGATTTTGCGTGACGTTTAGTTCGAGTTACTAAACAGAACGTCAGGATCGGGTCACCCAGGACGACATTGATAGTTCTTGCAATGCTCGGGTAAGTGTAAGTGTCTGCTTTGCATGAGTGTATTTTACCCTTCTATGCGTAGCAATTGCCATGGCAACCATATTACCATTTCTACTATGTTCGTGGGTAAGAAGGTAGGATACGTAGAGAGCTGAGTTGTGCGAAATTTGTTATGAAAAAAGCATTTCACAAAAATTGAACTTTACCTTCTACATTGAAGCAGCCCATTTACATCGCCTAGCTGATTCTAATTCTCAAAGCCCATGACTCGCCTTGACTGCAGTTACTGGTTCTCGTGGCCTGCGCCCTACCGTACCCGATGTGCCCTGCTCGGCTGGTTTACACCCGCTACTTTCGCCGCCGCATATGGTTGGAAGGCGTTGGCGTTCCACCAGCGAGCTCTCCGGCCATGACTACCGCCACCATGGCGGACCATTTGTCCACGTCTCGGGCCTCGGATGGGCAAGAGTCACCCTCTAGGAAGAAGCAGCAGCCGCAGCACCCTCCTAAGAAGGCGGCGTCCGCGGCGAAGAAAGGGTTCGTATCTAGCTTGCTTTTCTTGCTGTAACTGCATAAACACCCATTTTGCTTGATACATTCTGAAGCCGAATTAAAGTGCGGCGTTGTCGATTTTAATTGCCTTGAAAACTCAAGTTTTTTCGCGTGCTCACTCATGCCAAGCTACTCAGGCTTCTCACGAATGTCAAGTAGTTGAGCGGAAGTGAAGCCCGCCCACGAATACACTTTCACAAAATTCTTGCGCAGTGTACAAGTTACAGGAATAAGCACAGAAAAAAGGCGCAGTGCCTACCTCCTTTTAATAACAGCTGCCTTTACGTACAAAGCACGCTGAAAAAATAATTCACCAGAAGGATCTCTTAAGGCGGAAAAGATTGCCTAAGTCCCCTTAAAACTCTAAGTGTTCGAAGAGGTGTGATATCATAACGTATTTTTCTATTCTATCTCAAAAATTTTAAACAGCAGTGCCGGGTTCGCCCTACAAAAGGCCGCTAAAAGTAAAACTATAACAGTGCATTCCATGAACACACACAAAAAAAGCCGCAACAATGAATGCCGTGCATTACGCATTGGTGTTGTCCAGCTGGGGACGTGGTGCTTTAAGGTAAATAAAATAGTGCAGAAATCACGTAACTGCAAGTATATGAAATTGTTAAAGGAAAGTTTAACTACTTCTAAGAGTATCCGACGTGAGCAATTTATTTCTAAGAATTGTGCCTTGTACGAACTGTGGACAGTGATCGAATGACTTTTGTCACTGTTTATTCAATGGAGCGCAATAAACACGTCAGTTTTTCGACTGCTGCTGGTACAGTTAAATAAACCTTGTGGAGCTTTATTGCAGAGTGGTTATTTCTGATCTAACCAACACGCTGCTATGCAACTATAAAGGTTGCGGCCGTCAATCTACCGCTTATCAGGGACGATGGGGCTCCTTTATTAATTGTCGCGGGTTTCTCCACCTCGACAGAACTTTGAAGACGTTGTAGTGATCGTCTCCATGAATTTCTACCATCTGGTGACCTTGACCGTGCACAGAGTGCATGGGTCTCTAGCATGTTGCCTTTATCGAAAAGTAGTCAGGATCGAACCCGCGACCTTCAGGTCAGCAGTCGAGACCCGTATCCAACCAGTGCGCTGGAAACGGTGCTCCCTGGTCGTCCGCAGCCGTCGAAAATGCTGACCCTCTGTGAAGCCGGTGCCTGCAGCCGTGGCCACTGTACACACTCAATGCTGTTTTGTTATGCTAATAATGATTCTAATGTTTGCGGAACCAAGAACTTTGTGACCCGTTATGGTGCTTGCGCAAAATCCAAGCAAATCTTGGGCTCTTGCGTTCGTGTTGACCCAAGGCCTAAAAATCAATAACTAGCGTGGGTCCCCAAGGCGTTTTAGGTCACCAGCAAAATGAAGTAGACGCAGTGCCAGCCACAGCGCCGTATGGCCCGCATCACGCATAATTTTAATTTGGCTACATGCGGCTCTTTGTACATTTGACCCAACGCAGCCAACATGTTTGACCAATTGGTCGGTTTGACCCGATTCTCCAACTCTGCTGACCCCCCGAACGCAATAGCAACCAACCCAACGCAGCTTGAGGGCCCAGTGTCTTGGGCCACCAATTCTCAAGCCCTAATGCCAAAAGTTACAAATGTTTGTCATAGGGTAGCTCACGCGATAGGGTAGCTCACACGTAAGCGTCGAGCCTTTGTCGTTAATTCTAAAGACTGAGAAAATGTAGTTCACATTATCAAAACTGGTTGAAGGCCCCACCACGGTGGTCTACTGGCTAAGGTACTCGGCTGCTGACCCACAGGTCACGGGATCAAATCCCAGCTGTGGCGGCTGCATATCCGATGGAGGCGGAATGGTTGTAGGCCAGTGTACTAAGATTTGGGTGCACGTTAAAGAGCAACAGGTGGTCGAAATTTCCGGAGCCCTCCACTACGGCATCTTGCATAATCATATGGTGGTTTTGGGACGTCAAACTTCACAAATCAATCAATCAATCAATCAATCAATCAATCAATCAATCAATTAATCAATGAATGAATGAATGAATCAATCAATCAATCAATAATAAATCAATCAAACTGGTTGGAGTGTTTAGAAATACAAAGACATCTTCAGCATATCTAAAATCTCCAAACAAACTCCGAGTCAAGGTTTCTGGTAAGAGCACAAGAGATGTCTCTTGGGCCAGATGGTACTGCAGTTCACGGTGTAAGTGTGCAAAACAAAAGTGAACGGGAACATCAAAGAAGAGGAAAGCTCAAACAGGCGCAGTTTGGGCCTGTGCGAGCTTTACCCTCCTTTAATTGCAAAAGCAAATATATGGGCACTCTCCACCAGATTTTGCCGCCAGAGTCGTTGTCGAGGTTGCAGTCACTCACCGTATATGTATACGTTATACGTAAACGTAGGAAAGAAAAACAATCGAGAAAAATACCCGCAAACACTACGCACGGTATCGAACGTGGGATCTATGAATCGTGAATGCGAAGCGTTAACCACTGAGCCAAGGAAAAGCACCTCATTCAACGTTCAAATAACGAGCTATTTATATCTACCACTTGCTGCCTTCTATCACGGGCATCTCGAGGGGAACTATTGTGCTTTCGGCATTACAAGCGAGATGGCGCAATGAGCGCCCGTCTCCAAGTCGTCACGACGCGGCGGCGCGTGCCCTAATCTCCTACGCATACTTTGCCCCGAGGAGAGGAGAGGGTCGACGCTCACTCGCGCACCCTTATCTCGCGTTGGGGAGGATCGTACGTCTTGACTGGCGTTGGGATTCGACTGGAACGACTTTTTTGTAGTTACCAGGCACACAGAGGTTATTGGAATTGTCGCACAGTTTCTGTTTGCGAAAAGGGCACGCTTGTCAGGCACAGAGGAGTAAGAACAGAGACACTTATTCGCTTTCATCTGTACCTGTGAGTACGTTTCGTGCGCTATTTGTGCGTGAAAAACGCGTGGCACGTTTCAAACTGCTTGTCATTCTGCGCGTGACCCTCCAATTTGTTGCTATCACGTTCATTGCTTCGGCTTTGCGGCAATGATGTGAGTTTTTGTGTTTCCGGCCATTGTTTTTGCGCACTTGAAACTACGTTTCTATAAGTGCCTAGAATAATGTATGTGAAAGACTGTACAAAGAAAGAGACCACTGAATATACCATGCATGCAAAAGTTTTCTCACAATTGGGCAACAAAATAATGAACAGAATCTAGTGTTTTATTATTTTTTGTCATTCAACAAGCTTGCGAAACTGTGCACTCACCCTTTCACACAAAGCCAAACTTTCATGCGCAAAAAGCACGCGTGGCCAGTCCTGCGTTGCACAGTGGGTGTTGTTCAACTAGAAGCTACCACTGTAGCCATTGGTTGAACGGTGGGCGTTGTTTATGTAATCCCGTTGATGTGGCAAATCTTACCTAGTATAAATCAGCCGCAGCCTTAATGATCTCTGCAGCGACCATGTTTTATCGATTAATAAATATTGTGGGTTCCCATCTACTGTTTCATTGTGCCTCTGATGAATGTGGCCCACTGTATTGGGACACGCGTGTGATAGGACAGATCAGGGAAACGTAGGCACGGGAAGTGCTTCAAGCGTGTCCCATACCACAGAAGGGGATGGACGTATGGAGCGTCCTTTCGGTCTCTGTGCAAGAGCAAATGTGGATCAATTGAGACGCATTTCTTAGCGAACCAAAGGCGCTTGGCGCCTTGTGTTTGCTAGCTGGCTACGTCCTGGCGCTCTCATGATTATCTTATTAGCTTCTTGTGTAGACGTACAACGATGCAAAAACTCAACTTTTGTATCTTTTTTCGTGTAGGTGTAAATAGACGCCTGCATCTTCCCACAGAGGGAACTCGAGTAAATGCGTCGCAGCATGGTGGGTGTATCGCGTGAATACTGTTTAATTGAGTATGGTTAGCGAATGCTTCATAGTTATTTCGTCTTTATTACTCCGATTGATGAAGCAGAAGCGTTGCCTTCAACGAATGGTGGCACGCTGATGTTGTGTTGCGCCTCACTACTGGTTGAAGGTACTGTTGCTTCAATCGCATCTACTCGAGTCAAGCAAAGCGTTAGGTCAAGCGAAAGCCACGTGAAGACGCCCTTCACAGAATTCCAAACACGCGATCCAGTGCTTACATATATGGGGTGGCCAGCGAAGGAGCGTGAGCAGTCAGTTGTCACTACCAGACGCTGCTTGCGTGTGCTTTGCGAGGTGAGAGAAAAAGTAAGGGCGACAGTTGGCACAAGACGCGAGCAGGCGCAGTGTGGGTGTCGAGGACACTGGCGACGCCAGATTTGCGAGTACGTGCGACTATAAAATGCTACGCATTTAAAACACGTGTATGGGAATCTAATAGAGTTTGATTATTATGGCTGTCTAGATATATGAATAACGTGGAAGCTATGCCGTGTACGCACGTCGTCAAACCCTTTCTTCATGGCCAATGTGGCTCGTACTTGTATACTGCAGGCCGCGTATGCGGTTATACACAACAGGATGTCGACAGTGTATATTTACCGAGGAACGGCAACAACAGATATTGGTAAATCAAATCCGAAAGTGTCAAGAGTAACTACCAACAGCGAAGATGTTGATGTGAAAAACACAAAGAATAAAAATCAACAAATATATATATTTGAAGGAAGGAAGCGTATACTGAGGGGCTCGTTTTTTCTTGTTAGATACAATAATAACGAGATCTAACAGACAATAAATAATGCAAGGAAAGTATAGGAAAAATTATTAGACCTAATTGTAATGTAACTGTGACGAAAAAAAGTGGATGAAAAGATAACTTGCAGTGGGTACGGATCGAACCTGCGACCTTCACTCTGCTGCGTTATTCGAAGGTGACAGGTTTGGTTCCTGCCCACGGCACAATCTCGTCTTCCTTAGGATAGGCAGCTTCGGTTCTAATATCGTGCATGTTTGCTGTAAGGTTACTTTGATAATCGCCCATTACCTGCCATATCCATTGTACCAGACTACGTGCTGACGCAGTGCATTGTATCATGATCTGGGTCTGTGCTGTGTATTTCTGATTTTTCTTCCGACTTGTATTTTGAGTGTCTTGCTATATCAACCTTAACGTCATTACAGGGTGGATGAGGGGAAGCTAAAAAGAAAAAAGAACAATTGATCTGACGATAACATCTTAGTGGTGTGTGCCGATTTACTGTTTGCGATTTCAAATGGTTTGCAGTATCACGCTAGCATGTTACGACATTACTACAAAAAATTAGCTTAAGCGCATATGGTACGTCATCTTCCCCTCCCCCCTTTTTTGCCTCAAGGTGACGTGCAATCTAATATTACTGCCACGTCACTACTGTGCAATGCCATATCAACTGTGTGTGTAAGCTATCCTAATTACTTCTTGTAATCTGACTTTACTGCCACGAGTAACAAATGTGTGCGCATGAGTCTACGTTGCATGTGAGTGACCGTGTTTTTATTTGTCAATCTTGATATCGATAATCCCCGGGAGCATATTTCATATAGGCGTGCTTATAGGGAAACCTACCTGATTGTACTAGTTAGTTTGACGAAATCTAGTCCACCAGGCGAAACGTTCGTGAAAATGTACAGTGTCATACCAACGGAAGTCTTCATTCCTTATTTCTTATTGGCCCAGTATATATTATATATATATATATATATATATATATATATATATATATATATATATATATATATATATATATATATATATATATATATATATATATATATGATGAGCGTAAAGCACCTAAATGTAAATCTGGCATTCTGTCGTGGCATCTCTCTTGTTTTTTTTTTTCGTTCTCAGTATCACCACAAATATTTTGTTAGGCTACTCAACAACTCACCCTACGTTACACTCTGCTAAATAGGTATCTGGGAACGCAACACTGCACAAATGAAGTTACCACAACGCAAAATTTACCTCTTCACTGTCGCTGCCTTTCAGCGACCTTTTATCACTTCCCTTGCATCCGTAGTTAGATCATGTACACTAATTTCGAAGGATAAAAAAAGCAGCATCATTAGTAGTTGGGCTGTGTCGAAAACCAACTTAATTGCGGACAATACAGTGATAATGTTTACGTCTGCTGCACACGATGGCGAAGTTCATTGCTGAAGTGTGTCACGCATATTTGAAAGTGAAAACAGCTACAAGACCGATGCACCTCATTCATATAATTTCAGTAGTGTCGTAAATTGAAATACTGCTATTCGGTTCGGATTTGTTCTGAAGCCAGAAATGTCTCGACGTCATATAAACTAACCATTTACAGGTTTCAACAAGCTTTATTTTGTCTTTTGTTCTTACAGAAAGTAAGTGGCTTCCCCATGGCAGGTGCTCGGATTATCTTCAAGCAGCGCGTCATGGTCGTGCATGTGGAAATTTTGCAAGTTGTTTGTCTAACACCAAAATACAAATGCACATTTGAAATGAAGTCTGTGTTTTCATTTCATGGCACCATTCGTTGGCGTTTCTTTGTAAGTAATCGATAACGTTGAGAGAGAGAGAGAGAGAGAGAGAAAGAAAACACATTTATTTGGTCTGGAAAGAAGAGTATGAGATGCATCCAGCACCTGACTAGACGGGACGGGGAGGTCGAGCCTCTCCAACCTCTCACGAGCCTTCCGGACAGCGAGAAGCTGGACGACGTAGCTGGGGTCGTTGATAGCAGCGGTCCATCGCCAGAATATATGTTTCAATGAGCTAACTTCTCCACAGCCTGGGCAGGTTGGGTCCATCTCCGCATGGAACATACTCAAGATGCTCGTTGAGGAATAGGAATGCCTTAGGAGCATTCTCAGCAAAATGAATTGCGGTCTATTGCAGAAATGCTCAGTTTTCTACTTCACTTTCGTTCACGTTTACAGGAAGCAGGCACAAGAGAGCTGCTGAGTTGCGTGTGATTACTGCTACCGATGAACGCATGCAGAATACAATTTTTGTCTTTGCTTCCATGGTTAGGTTGCACCTAAAAGTCTAGTAATTTACAAAGAAATCTACAACTGAGAGTGATAACGCTGGGCAAGCGCACTCGTCCCGGATTACGCGTCCCACACGCAAAAGGTAGTTTACTGCCTGTATGCTCGAGCTTCTACAGCACGGGTCATCTCGTGATGCAGGTGACTACCCCACGACTCGTAAAGCACAAGTTAACAACCGATGCAGATGCAATCGCGGCTTGTTGGGTGAGCCGACTTTCAGCAATGTGAATGAATGCTAGCTCCTTTTACAAATTGAGCGGCGTCGCGCGACGCAGGGATGGTTTGGTGCTCCCCTTGCTCCCATAATATCCCGAAAGTCTGCATGCATAGACGAGTTCTAAGTTCAATTGAACTTTCTCTTAATGCTGCAGGAAAGTTTGTGGTTCATACATCTTTCTGTAGTTGCTACACCTTCCTGATACAGAAATGTGCACACTCTCCCGTTTAGTAATACGTCCACAGGCAAAGAAACATCAATATAACTCAGCTATTTTTCAAACGAGGGTGTACAGAGTTCCTTAGTGTGCTGGATGCAAACAGATATATCTTTTTTTTAAAAGTTAGGGCACCCTAAAGAAAACTTCGCCTTTAGAAGTTGAACGCGATAGCAATATCCTGTTCCTAGTGCGTACTTCAAACACTTAGTGCATGAAACCTTTTAAAATTAGCTATGCACCCACTACGTGGCTTCAAGGGAATAGGCGCAGTAGCGTGTGTGCTATTTGTAGTAGAGTACCAGCTTTCAACCATGGAGCCATTATGATAATCACATATTTTGACGCCCATTGCCAATGAACTCTTGTGCCACGCATTATTACTGCAATATTTCATATTGCATTGCGAAGCATGTATAAAGGACGCTGTGTTTGTGAAGCATTAAAGCAGATTTCACTGCATTTCAAACGAGAGGAAGTTATCTTTACTGCTTTCTCAAACGGAAGCGTGGCCGTGTGGTAGAACACGCGATTTCAACGCGGACGACCCGTGTTCGATCACCACTTGAACCCAAGCAACCCTTGTTTAGCCACACTCAGCTCCTGGATTCTATCATTTATTAATTTCCCTTGCATCGTTCTCGATTCTTTAGTTACGTGTGAGATGATGCTTTTTAGCTTACAACCAATGAGGCCGACGGCTGAATTTTCGCAAAACGAGCTCTTTGACGCTACCGCATTAAAAGTTGAGGCATAAACAAAAACGAGGCAAGGCTGAAGCATGTAGAAAAGGGTGCCTGAGCTGCACTAACATGAAACCTGCAGGAAGAGGCGAAGCGTATAGTGTTTGGAAAGAGATTGCCTTCATGAAGCACTAGTGGTGCCAAGTCTGGCTTGTAAGAAAGGCTACTCTACCACTCTGTTGGGCCAACTGCTGCCTTCTTCATTCCTAATTGACCGGTGGCGAGTATTGCAATTCACCCATTGTGTCGCATACCTGCATCAACGATAGACCGTGACTACATGACACACCCTGATGACAGGAGATCCCGGCAAGCCGACGAGCTGTTTAGTACCTGATAACACAAGGTAGCCCCGCCACGGTGGTCTAGTGGCTAAAGTACTCGGCTGCTGACCCGCAGGTCGCGGGTTCGAATCCTGGCTGTGGCGGCTGCATTTCCGATGGAGGTGGAAATGTTGTAGGCCCGTTTGCTCAGATTTGGGTGCATGTTAAAGAACCCCAGGTGGTCGAAATTTCCGGAGCCCTCCACTACGGTGTCTCTCATAATCATGTAGTGGTTTTGGGACGTTAAACCCCACATATCTATTTATCTAACACAAGGTAAGACAGGAAGGTTCACAAAGTGGTACCTCGTGTCTCGCCCAACTACGACAACCTTTT